TTACAGATTATAAAAATTATATATTTTTGTGTTATTTATTGAGTTTATTTGCAGGTTAATAACTGATGATTCTATTTATCTTTTTTTATTATTTTTCTTATTTTATTCATTTATTTTTTTTGTTCTGAGGTAAAACAGGAAGTAATGAGGATCAGTCCACTTTCTATTAGTGTAGGGTCCTTTGAAAGGACCAGCAGGCATCTTGGGTTTGGTGCCTATGGTTTTTACCAGACCAAGATAGGTAGCAGAAAGGAAAAAAGGAAAGTTTGAACTCTGCAATTGTTGGTTGAAATAGGAGAAAAAATCATCCAAAACAATCAACAAGTTTAAACACTAAACCTTCTGTTGCCTGCGTACAGAAACTTGACCCCAGTGCCTTTTATTGGATGTTTGCCTTGCAAACAATCACCAATACACTAACGAGTCCATTTTTAAAATCTAAACAGTAGAAGTAAAAGGTTTTCTGATAAATAATTACTCCAGTAAAGCATAGACAACATTTCTACTTAAGTAAAGTAACAAAGTATTTGTTCTTAGTTTCTTGCTACCTCTGTGTTTGTGGATTATTTCACTGATAATCCACCGTTCAGCCACAGGGTAGCAGCATTGCTCTGCAGTTCAATCCACCGCACTCACAGCTCCATCCCTCCAGTCTGGCCAATATTCATATTTTTAATCCTCCTTCAAATAGCCCAGGCCAAACAAAGCTTTAAAGACACAGTACCTGTGGAGCAAGTTCAGTAAAAGTTAATCATTTATATAAACTATTTAATCTGGATTAGAACTGAACAGGTGGAGATACTCAGTTTTTTACAATCTCAAATGTTTAGCAAAAATGTGGTTTTCAGGTTGTTGTTTTTTTCTCTTTCATTTCTAAATAAATAAAACTCCACTTCTATCTTGTTACTTCACCCAGAAGTGAGATTTTAAAATCTGATTTTCAGGAATTGAATTTGGCTAAATGCAGCATTAGAGGTGGACTCCCCTCTTCAGCTCGGTGGAGAATCCTTGTCTCAAGTAGAGGAGTTCAGGTATGTCTGGGTCTTGTTCATGATTGAAGGACGGAGGGAGCGTGAGGTCGATAGACGGATCGATGCGGCGTCGGCAGTGATGCGATCGCTGTATCGGACCTTCCTGGTGAAGAGGGAGCTGAGTCGGGGGGCAAAGCTCTCCATTTATCGATTGATCTACGTTCCCTACCTCATGTATGGTTATGGGATCTGGGTAATGACTGAAAGGAAGATCGCAAATACAAGCGGCAGAAATGAGTTTCCTTCGCAGGGTGGCTGGGCGCACCCTTCCAGATGGGGTGAGGAGCTAAGTTACCCGGGAGGAGCTGGGAGTAGAGCTGCTGCTCCTACAGGTCGAAAGGATCCAGCTGAGGAGGCTCGGGTATCTGTTCCGGATGCCTCTTGGTCGCCTCCATCAGGACGTGTTCCAGGCACGTCCCATTGGGAGGAGGCCTGGTGGAAGACCCAGGACAGGCTGGAGGGACTGTCTCTGAGCTGGCATGGTGTCGCCTCGGGGAGCAGCTGGAGGAGGGAAATCTGGGCATCTCTGCTTATGGATGGATGGGAAAATGCAGTATTACATGTAACGTTTTCAAGAAAGATTCACCTAAACACACCGTCTATTGCTGAGGAAAAAAACATACTGTTTTTTTTGAATGAAGCCAAAGTAATTCCTAATCTGAACCCTTTCTTTAAACAAGGCACATGTGCAAAACCAATTTTAAGTTGTAAAACAACAAAGACTTCTTAGAAAACTGTTGGAATCCTTATTTGTGCAAGCAAAGTATTGTTTGCTTAGATCTATTGTTAACTGGGTGATATAACTAACCATATATTAGTTTTGTGATTTTATTTTACTCTTAAATTATATTATTTTTGGGCCACAAACACTTTCAAATTTATCCTAGGTGGAATGTTTGTGTGTTAGTTAAAACAATCCAGAAAATCCTCATAGTGAAGCATGATGGTGGTAGCATTATGCTACTCAGAGGTTGCAAGAAGCTTGTGACCAGGCTGTAAGATGATCTCGACGGGACCACGACGCTACGTCAGCTGATTGTTGAGAGGCTCCTCGTCCAGACTGAATGAGCTGGAGCGAAAAAACACAAAACAAACACAAACCAAACAAGAATTAATTAACCAAAGAAAGAATTATGATAAAATGTGGAGAACTGAAGACACAAAGCTGCGTTATTCTTTCAGAGCAGCTGAGCTGAATGATGTATAGCAGTGTATCTCAACCTTTTTAGACTTGAGTTCCCATTTCTGCATTTTGACTTACCATAAGCCCCCCAATCAAAAGTATTTAGGACTGTCCAAAAGTGGAATGACTAATTATAAAATCATATTTTATAATAGAATTTTACTATAATGATATATTTATATATTGTACAGTAGCAATCGACTGGCGACCTGTCCAGGGTGGACCCCGCCTCTCACCCATTGACAACTGGAGACAGGCACCAGCACCCCTCGCTACCCCACTTGGGATTAAACATGTCAGAAAATGTATGGATGGATTATACAGTAGCAGCCATTCAAAATGGTTCTTCCTACTCAGCCGAATGGCAGCCCACTCCCCAACTCCCAGCAAAATCCCCTCCATGAACCCAACATATTTTTTTACTCTGTCTCCACCCTTTCACTGAATTACAGGGTCTGTCCAGGAGATGGCGCTTCTCTTTAGATCTTAATGTCCACAAATCATGACAGAAAGATTGATGTTTAAAAAGGAATTGTAGGGGACCAGCCAAGGGCCAGCCAGGGACCAGCCAGGGACCAACTAAAGACCAGCCAGGGACCAGCCAGGGACCAGCCAAGGACCAGCCAAGGGCCATGCAGAGACCAGCCAAGGGCCAGCCAGGGACCAGCCAAGGAACAGCCAGGGACCATGCAGGGACCAACCAAGGACCAGCCAAGGGCCAGCCAAGGAACAGCCAGGGACCAGCCATGGACCATGCAAGGACCAGCCAAGGGCCAGCCAAGGAACAGCCA